AGGTACTCAGCAACTTTTTTGCCTTGGTCTTCACCATTAAGCGCTCCATCCACAACTCCCAAGTCGCAGAAGACAAATGCAGGGACTGGGAGAATGAAGAACCATCTGCTGTAGGAGAAGGTCAGGTTTGTGAGTGTCTAAGGAAGCTGATTCTCTTCTAGTCTGCTCTTGTGAGACTCCTCGTGGAGTACTGCATTCAGCTCTGGGGCCCCCAACACAAGAAGGACATGGACGTGTTTGAGCGAGTCCAGAGGAGGGCCAGGAAGATGATCAGAAGGCTCAAGCACTTCTTCTATTGAGACAGGCTGAGAGAGTTGGTCTTGTTCAGCCTGGAGAAGAGAAGGCTCCAGGAGATCTTAGAAGCAGCTTCCAGTACCTAAAGGGGGCCTACAGGAAAGCTGGAGAGGGAATTTTTACAAGGGGGTAAATATAGGCTAGGATGTGTCCTATCACATGAAATGATAGGACAAGGGGGAATTGTTTTAAACTTGAGGAGTGTAGACTTAGATTAGATCTAAGGAAGAAGTTTTTTACTAAGAGTGGTGAGACATTGGCACAGGTTGCCCAGAGAAGCTCTGGCTGTCCCATCCCTGGAAGTGTTCAAGGCCAGGTTGGATGAGGCTTTGAGCAACCTGCTCTAGTGGAAGCTGTCTCTGCCCATGGCACTGGGGGTTGGAACTAGAGAATCATTAAGGTCCTTTCCAACCCAAACCATTCTATGGTTGTATGAAACTAATTTAAGAAAATTAAATAGCTCAAATTTTCAGTCTCTGCACTCTGAAAATATCCTTGTAAGCACAGCATCATACCATAAGTAAACCATTAATTTTCACTGCTTCTAGTAAGATGCATTCTGTCATTAGAGACACAAGCTCATAACTGCGTTTGGCAGTACTTGAACTTTGAAAGTTGAAACACGGTTTCAGGGCATGATGGTGTATGCATATGCAAGCACAATGATATCACTCCCCAGGCAGCAAGTGTTTCTGCTGCTGGCAGGCTGCACTTGGTCTATGCTCCTCTTCCATCTGCTTCATCCTTGGAGCTGACTGCTGTGGCCTCTCAGAGGGTGATTTTGGCAGCAGCAGGGTACAGATGCCCAGCTTGGGAATGAGTTTTTGAAACAGTGGCCTCTGGGTGTCAGCTTGTCTTCCCAGCTGGTCTCTTCAGTGGTCCTATCTGGCTAGACTTCTGGCTCTGCTAGCAACTGGAGGTCAGTCTTTGTGCCTTGCTGGTCTTCCCAGAAGAGTACTTGTCTATAATTAGTGCCTCTGAAGGAGCTAAAAGCTATCTTTATATATAACTTTAAAAGTAAAATCACTCTGGAAAACCTCATGAATGTAACATAAAAACTTGTACAAAATGACATTTAATCACGTGATAGGGTGAGATTTCCACTCTCATTCAAAGTTTCTGCTCTGGTCTAATAGTGTATGGTGGATTTTTAATTTATTGCAAAATAAAGGTTCATAAAGTTTGGAATAATTTGCAGAAGGTATACCAGAACATGCTTAAAATTACTCATGTACAGGGCATGCTCTTGAATATATTGATGAAATGGCAGGCATCCTCTGTTCCACCTGTGAATATATAAATGGGGGAAATAAAAATTGCTTCAGAGCTTGGAAAACCCAAAGTAGCCAAATACATTCCCTTGCTTTTATTTCTGTCTTGCTTTGCTACTAATTCTGAATGCTACCTGAAGACTGATTTTTATATTTACTATATTCTCATGCCTCTGATTGCAATGGTGGAATCAGAGTAGAGCTGATTCCTTGGGGTATCTCACAAATTCCCTTTCAGTGGTAAGTCTATATTCAGAAGGAGTTTGATAGCTGAAAATTAAAATATGTGTGCAGTTGCAGTAACAAGAGCATACAGGCTTCGTCCACTGAACTCTTTTTCTTTTCACAGTATCGATATTCTTGAGGTTATAGCAAACTCGTCTTGGAAATACAATGTAGTACATATACAGACATTTTGCTGTATTAAAAGGAATATAATAGAAAATAAAGGAAATTATTATAGCCCTGGATTTACTGTGTGATTGGGCCAGAATTTCTGTGGCTTGTTATAAGTAACTTTTTTCTACAAGGAAATACATACATAGTAATGAATTTAGATAGAAAGTTAATACTGTCTTGAGGAGAGAAGTGTCTCTGAGGTATTTAAGTGTTCTCATTTTTCTACCTCAGAAAGGAATTAGGAAAAAATAAGATAAAAATATACTTCCCAGTAATTTAATAATATACCTTCCTGTAAATATTGAAGGAATGAACTCTTCAGCTACACTCAAACAACGCTACTTAGGCATCAGATTAGACCTGGTTCCACAACTCTGTAATGCATGCATGTAATTTTTACAGGAATAAATAGACTATGATTATATGAAAAAATTAATTTTCCTGATTAAAAAGTACCATATAGTCTTTTTTTTTAGCAAGGCTTTCAGTAGAACAGAACTAGAGTGGCAAAATACTATATTTTGCAAAATACTGTATGGGTAAGTGTACAACAGACTTGCAAAATATTCTTTCTGTGGCAAAAATTAACTTGCTGCATTCTGTGCAACATTTTCTGCCGCCTTCGTACATATCTCCAGATTTATTGCAGGACGTAAATAGTGGGAAACTCCTCTTGTGCAGACCTTTTCTTGCTGTCAGTTTATATCATTCTTTCAAAAGAAAATCATGAAACAATAGTGATACAAAATCTGTTATAGGTCTAACTGAATTATGAGGATTACATTGATAAGCACAATATTGTTTTGTTTTGCTCTACAGCATAAAGTAATTTGACTTGGATGCATGGTCATGTAGATTCTCAAAAGCTTTCAGTCAATTATACATGCGGAACTGTGGCTGTTTCTCTAAAAGCATTAAAAAAAAAAAAAGAGAGAGAAGGAAAGCAGTGTACCCAAGTACATCTTATATTTTGCCCTAGAGCTCTGCTAACGAATCAGGCAAGCTGTTTTGGGGAACTGAAGCTGCAATTTTCCAGAACTGAAGAGCAGTGCCAAACCAAGAAAATGAAAAGCATTTCTGATTTGTGGTGGCAGCAGACAATGAGTTGTCAGTAAGTGAGGGTATAAAATCATATTCAGCAGGGAGCAGAAAGGATCATGATGGCACGTAAGAATTGGCATTTTTCCTTAGGCACATAAATCTACTTCTAAGCAAGTGGGTCTTGTGGTATGTGGTTTGGGGTGGCTTATTTTGTGGGTTGGACTCTTGTTTTGGTTCCCCCCATCCCAAAGAGTAGCTTAACACAGAAGAGGAAAAGTGCCCTGTTGAATAAGGATTTGCTTGGTGTCTTTATTTAGAAGTTGTTTGGAAAATATCTGCAGAGTAGGGAGACAAATGCAGCTGAGCAGAAGAGACTTAGTTTCTGGAACTCCTATTAATTCTTTAACTACTTGTCTGAGGAAATCTGGAAAGTAGCTGATTTGGAAACTCTTTAAAAGGTAAAGGTTTCACTGGATTAAATAGCAAATATATTGAATATGGACTACTTGTTCAGGAAGGCTGGAAAGAAAAGGAGGGAGAATAGATGGCAATGCCTGATGAGAGAATATCTCAGTGATATTCTCTCATAGGTTTTGCATTACTTTCATTTTACAAACCCTTTTTATATTTAGTCCCTTAAACAAGTGGGTATCCTCAACCTCTTTTTATTTTTTTTTATTTTCTTCCTATTTTTAATTCTTTCAAAATGCATTTCTGTTTTTATATATTTTGTTCTGATTTACTTCTGCTAGAAGATATTTCAGAGTGCCTAGTTTCTCAATTTGTATTGCTTTCCAGATTATGAAACATGGAATATTTTTTTTCTGAAGATTAGGATCTCAAAATAGCAGAAATTTACTTGGAGCCAGTGATGCAACAGTAATATAGGAATATAGGTTAAGGTTTCACAGCTGAATGACATTTTTATAGGAAGTATGCAGCTGTATTAACTTCCAAGTGTAGCCCCTTCCTGGTCTCTAGGCAACATTTTCTGTGCTGAATTAGAGAAATCCAAAAGATAAATGGTAAATCCATGGATCACTGTAAGTAAAACCTTCAGCTAGAATATCTTTTTAATAATAAAAAAGCTGTATCTGGCAACTGATTCTAACTGAGGTTTGAGTCTGGTAAAGAGTAAATCAATACCCCTGCGTCTATGCATAGGTTTGAAGAAGGGTGTTCGTAAACTCCAGAAACAGGTGGACATTACCTAATTTTTTTTTAACTTGCTTCTCTCAGCCAACTTTTGCTACTAAAATTTTACCAGTTGCAGTGGATACCACTGCATGTCAAAGATCTGATCTTGTATTGCGTGCCTTGGTTTGAAAAATTAAATACTTTGTTGAGCATTACTAGTGTGGTGTTGTTACTAGAGCCTTTCATCATGTATTGTTCTCTTTATCTCACATGTAAATTGAAGAATAAGGAGGCTAAAATCAATAGCTCCAGAGAAAGAGAATAGTAACCAGTGTCCTGTATATTTGGTGGACAGAGATAAGACCAAAGTAATAATGTAATTTCATCTCCCTCTGTTCTGAACAGTTGCATTAGCATTATATTTTGATGTGCCAGAAATTACCAAGGAAATTACTCAGAAAGAATAAGAACTTAATTCCATTCTTTCTTCTCCTTGTTGAAAGGACTGGCAAAGTAGCAATCTTTGTCTTTTATTGATAAATAGATGTACTCCTTCTATAGCTTGAGTTTATATTTGAAGCGTGATCTCTTATGTCTTTATAAAATTGCATTGCAGTGCTGCTGGTAATGCACAGGCAATGCAAGTGTGCTAGCGTCCCTTGGCCAGAAGGACCTAGGTGCCAAGCAGGAAAGAAGGTGGGAGTGAGCTCTGGTATTTGTCTCAATTGCCTTGACTGTTGAACATATCAAACATATCCGGCTTTTAGTTTTTACTTCTATCTTTTTTAGATTTGTTTACATTTTCTTCAAAAGGATGCTTAAATGAACAGTGAGGCTCATTCTTATTATTGTTTGCAGGTTTCCAACCTGTACCTGTATGACAGTGTGCTCATGCTGGCCAATGCTTTCCACAGAAAACTGGAGGACAGGAAATGGCACAGCATGGCAAGTTTGAACTGCATGAGGAAATCCACCAAACCTTGGAATGGAGGACGATCCATGCTAGAGACTATTAAGAAGGTGAGAACAGACAAACCATAGTTGTGTGAGCAATTGAAAGAGTTGCTACATTCCTACTTGAGATTAGCTTTTCAAGAAGTTTTTAAGCCTTATTGAAATTTTATTTGATTTATTACAAGTAATTAACAAGTACCAGGAATGATCCACAACTATTAAATGAATGATTTACGATAAATTAGAAACACTGCAGTGTTGCTCCAATGGTGTATGCTCTACTTTTGTTCTCATAGCTGCCTTCTGTGAAGATAGTGTGGTTAGGAATAGTCATAGAAACTGATGTACACTTGCATTTTAGTAATTTCTCCAAGAGAAATTAAGGAGCTCGAGGGGCCCACCAACAGAAACATTTGGGACTTAATGTTCCATTTACTACAGCTCAACTAGCTTCATAAGTTAGGCCCAGAGCAAAAGCAATCTGTTTTAGCTAAGTTGTCACTAACAGTTACATTTTCTTGCAGCATGTTGAATTACTTAAATATGGACAGTACTGTGGCTTTGCAGATGCATGGTAACTTCCTGTATGAATGTTATTTGATCATAAATACTAGTGAAAAAATACTAAAGTTTTACTATGCTACCTTTAGCAATTATTCAGAAGAAAACCCCTGTTTCCCCATATATATCGATGAGATAGTTTTCATCTAGTAAATGATGCAGTTTGGTCAAGTGTTATGTTATGCTCTGACCATTCCTAGTGACACCATCCTTTGTTACTAAATTAATTAAAAATTTTGTGTCATTTCAAGCTGCTTTGCTACAAACCCAAAATCAAACTCTGTGATACTTTCACAGAGAGGTTTTAATAATACTTACATTTTAGATTTTCTTCGTGTCTTTCTTGGGAGCAAGGCAGGCATACTCTGTTTTGGACTTGGAGTTCATGCCTTCGTATTCAGTCCAGTAACTGAAGCTCCTGCCCTCAATTACACTCAAAGGGCTGTTGTCTTATGGTCCACCAAGGTCCTTCTCTTTTTTGAGGTCTGTCTCTGTGCATGATGGAAGACCTGATGGCTTTCTTCCAAAAGTAATTTTCTAAAAAATTTTTCTAAAAAAAATTTCTTGTGTCCAGTGCTGTGTGTGAGCTATTGAAGAACATTTAATTGCCACATTTGAGTTCGCTGGAGTGTTTATAAAGCAAATCTGTTCTATTCTAAAATTTCTGAAACTTATTTCCCTAGGGCCATATAACTGGGCTTACTGGTGTTATGGAGTTCAGAGAAGATGGCGCCAACCCCTATGTTCAATTTGAAATACTGGGCACTAGCTACAGCGAAACATTTGGCAAAGATGTGCGGAGGGTAAAGATATGCTGCTTCTTTCTCTCTTTTCCTTAAGTAATACACATTCTACTTCACGGGAGAAAATGTTATTCTTTAAGAATGAATTAGTGCTACACTGCAGAATAAATTTACTGTAAGAGAAATATTTTCTAATATCTTACACACTTAAATCTTGAAAGCTAATTTTATATTTCTAGTCAGGAGTCCTGCAAGTTGTTTCCACATGTGCAGTACTGATGCTGTGCCATAACAATACCATGAATTTAATAGTGAAGTTTACACAATTCTGCTCATGTATTTTATTTTTAATTAAGATATAGTTGATAAAGCTGGCACTTGTCTTAGTAAGGAAGCTAACTGAGAATATAAATTACTTAAACACACAAAAATGTTTCAAGTATAGCTGCTGCAAGAATTTGAGATAAATAAATATGAAAAAATCTAGAGAACATAATTTCCCAAATGGATAATGCTATGTAGTGTAAAGGATGACCTATCAATGGTAGGGATTAGAAGCCAATTAAAGTGATTCCATGGGATTACTAACATAAATTGTCGTGGGCTGAGAAGGCTACCTTGAACATGTTCATGCAGAGGGGATGCTTCAAAAATACCTGAAACTCCCAATTGAATGGTGAGATTCCATCTGGAACCCAAACTACAAAATGCCCCTGAACTTCAGAACAGGTTGAAATACAGATGTTACAGTCAATAGGTCCTATATGTGATATAGGACCTATAGGTGATCAAACCTATATGTTTGATCAGCAGAACTGATCAAAGAAGATTCCATGAAGAATTAAATTTTTTTACTTTTTCTTTTCATCTGACCATTGTTTTCTTAGTTTTGTTTTGATTCACCTGAATTACATGAGTCTAAATGGAAAAACAAGCAAAGAACCTGTGTTTACATTATCATCTTAAGCAGCTAAGCCTGAGATTCTTTCTGAGTCTAATTTGGTATGAGGATTCTGGACATAGAGCCAAAAGCTTCTAATGTCTATTAGAAATTCAACAGAAAGAAAAGGAGTTTTAAAATGCATAAAGCTTCAGGGTATATAACTGAAAAAACTTGTGTTGCCAAAGAAGTGTCTCTGAAGAAATCAGGTTGGCTAGGCACCCTCCTTTATTGTAAAGACCAAAAAAGGCTATTTCTCAGTGCACTTTCATTTCTAGATTTCTTTTGCAAATGACGAGTTCTAAGTTCAAAGCACTACCTGAATGATGAAAAATTCTCTTAATTTTAAAAACAGTGCTGCCTGCTTAATAAAATAGTGTTGCCTGAGAAGATCTAGGAAGCAATTATATTTCATGAGCAGAAGTATCCACCTCACTTTGTGCACAAGTATGCAAAACAGAAATATCTGGTGCTTTGCGAGGTGCTGTGGACTGTCCTACTCTGTTTCCAGTTGCCACTGCAGGAAAGCGTGAGTGTCCTATCTGTGCTGGGTTATCCCTAGCAGATGGATGCCATGGGGTGTTTGAGTTTGGTTCCATTTTGTTACAGAATTCCCAAGTAACTTCAAGTAAGTCACATAATCGTGTTATGCTTCAATATACCTTTCAGTAATATTGGCATGATTACCCTCAGAGCAGATTTGAGGCCTTAAAGGGAAATTATGATGTGTGAGTACACATTACTTTTTCTTCTAATATATATTTTGAATATGGTGGCATATATACAGAAGCACTTAGTTTGGTATGTGGAGCACACTAACCAAAATGAGACAGAATCCAGATGTGTGAACTAGAGTCAGCCTAAAATACCACTGAAAAGGAATGACAAAGCAAAGAAATAGGTAAAATTACTTTCTCAGGGATCATTTCACCAGAAAGACTCCTAGGAGAATGTCTGAGATAGCAACCCATCTTGGATTTTCACAGCTACCATGAGATCTGGTCTTTCTGCAGACAATTGCTGTTTCCACTAGCTGTGACTGAGTTATGACTTCAAGTAAATATATGTATTTACTAGCTGAATGTGCCTTCTCCTTTATTCCACAAGTCTAACAACATATTTTTGTGGTAGAGGCTGATAGTGGCGGTATTTTGTGTGTATGTTTTCTTCTTCCTTTGTTTGGATGTACTCTAGTGAAAGGAAAACTTAAGAAAATGCTCTAATTTCTTTGGTTTAAACATAAAAGAACAGGGTATGTCCCTTAAAATATACTACCTTGCTTTACAAAAAGCTCAGATGATTGCCTTCTATTCACCGTGTGCATGTAGAGTTTCAAAAAGCATGGTGTATTCATGATTAAAAGAGAGATCGGTTTGGTGACTTAGGGTGTTTGAAAATTGACAAAAGATTGTCAGAGAAGCTGAAAAGGCTTAAGTGCCTATTATATGATGATATTCAGTATGATTTATGTTCCTAATATCTGTAAACACCTTTAAAAATAGCAGCCTGGCTATCTCTGTGTGTGTGCGTGTGTGTATGTAAAAACCCATATATAAAACCCAAACCATTGTGGCTGATGCCACACTAATGTTTAAAGAAAGAATGAAAGAAACACAGAGGAAGTAGAACTTGGGAAAAAAAAAAGCAAAGGTGTTATAAAGTTTTCAGGTGAAGCATATGGAGCAGAAGGTGTGAGACTAATCACCTATTATGTTCAAAACCCTTTGAGATTTTTTTATTTGCATTTGTAGTGGATAAAAAACCCTTTCTTCTCATTTCCTCTCTTATGTCCACCTGTCATGCTAAGGGTGCACACGTCAAATTCACTACCAGACTTAACTGCTGGGTTACTCATTTTTGAACAGTCTTCCTCTGAATTAGAGTTACCAGTATGCTTTTAAAATTATTATTTTTATTTTAAATTCTTGTTTATTAGTTCTTTATGATCCCCCCCCCCCCCCTCCCCCCGCCCCAGATGCATAGAGATCTCTTGTATGTTTACATTTTTATGTCTTCTGCCTGAAGCTTCCTGAGCTTTTGGTTCATTCCTAGCACTAGCAATGACTAATGGCTGGGGAATGATCATTATACCCATTTGCTTCATTGGCTTACTGTCCCCATCTGTATCGTGGAGTTGACGATACTTGCCTGCTTTGTACAATGTTTTGAAGTCTGATAAAGAAAAAAACAAACAATCAAGCAACCCCAAAAATACCCAACTCTAGCAAAAACATTTCACTGTTAACATTAAGATATTGAATGAATCATAGTATTAAAACCTGGATATTCCTAATTGTATGACAGACCATCCCTTCAGAGCTCATTTGGAATTGTCAGTGGAGAACTATGTCCCACTTCCACAATACAAGGGACATGAATTTGGAAAGGAGTTCAAGACTATATTAATTCCCTCCATATTGACCATCTGTATTATGAGTTCTTACTAATGAAAGCCTTGCTATAACTTTCAGAACATCTGAGCTGCTTCATATTTCTTACATTTCTACGCTTGGGTGGATTTTGCACAATGTACTAGTTTAATGATCCAGCTGCAAGGGCAAGAATCAGGGAGTTCAGGACTCCAGGGTGGTATTCCTAGAAACGCACTAACTCAGAGGTTGCTCCTGAGGTGTAAAACTCTCTGTTCTCATTTGACCGTGTGTGCAAAGAACACCATAACAACTAACTGCCCTTGTAGGAATGTGATTAAGCTTAGTTAGGGAACACCTGTAAGGAGCTTTATCATTACCTTCTTGGCAGGAAGATCTTCTGTAAGTGTGAAATGATGTTGTTATTTAGTTTATTTTATGACAGGGATCATATTTTTTATGAAGCAATCTGCAACTCTTTCCCAAACTGGCTGTAATGAAGGCAGAATTAATGATTTACACACATGCTGTATTTCATAAAAAAACATTATGTTCAAAATAATAATGTTTATGATTGGCTATTCAGTTCTGTCAGTTGGTATGTTTTAATTTTCTTAAATTAGATTTTCTTGAAATATCAGCGGCTTCAGAAACAGTCATACTTGTTTCCTGCAGCACTTCTGAGGCAGATTGCAGAAGTCACTGTAAGTAGTTTTCTGATGTTACACACTTGCTGAAACCATATTTTTCAATTCTGATACGGTGCTTTAATTTGGATTCTTACTTTTAGACAGAATCTCATAATTATCATGATGAGAAATCCTATGCTGCTTATTCATTGCAGAAGGGAACTGTATTTTTAGGGGTATGCAGTGTTAAGTGCCTTCATCTGCAAGAATATTATCAAGTCACATCATGTGCCACTGAAAGGTATATACTGAAGACAACTGTCTTAGGTGGTTACTGCTGTAATTTAAACAGTTTTACTCATATGGAAAACCGCATAACTAAATTGCTTGAGATTAGCTGCAGAGCAGATGCCTGCTTCCTGTTTGAGCACTTCATAAACATGCACTTGGGTATAGTAATTTGGTTCAATCTGTTTTGCCAAAGTATTTTTCAGCTGAAATATAAGAAGTATTGGCTACCTGTTATCACTAAAGGTCCTCTGTAACCTTGCGAAAGGAAGTGCTAATAGTCTTCTCATTCTAGGTAAAATACAATTTCCACGTTTACACTTGGTTGAACTTTCTGCTTCAGTTGATTGTCATGGTAGAATAATTTGGAAAAACAGTATTGCAATTCACCCTATAAATACATTGTGTCAAACTGCAGAAAAATCTGGAATATTTTACTAAAATAATAAACTTCCCTGAATTTTTAGTTGTAATTTTCTGTACAAGATGGATCTGAGAAATAAAAGTAAATGCATTCCTTGCAAATTCCATAAATTGAATTATTCACGGTGAAAAATACAGCTGAACATACAGGAAATGGCTATGATCAAGTTTTATACTAGAGAAGGAACATGATGAATTTAAGTGTTTTTTCTGAAATGAAGGGGGGATTGGGGGGGTGTCCCTGTTTGCCCAATGATTTTTTTATTAGTAGTATTTTGTTTGGTTTTGTAATTAAAATATTTGATGTTTTCATTGAAAATTATAGCTCGTTATACTGAAAAGTAGGTAAGCAAGTTTCAAATGCATTTTTTGTTGCAAATATGTGTTACATAGTTCTTTTCAAGTTTGGGTTTTTTTCCTTCTTTTATGTTTTGGAAAGCATTGCCAATGGGACCTATGATTTTGCGTAAACTGTTACTTGTATTTGCTGTGTGTATTTGCAAATTATACCAGAGTCAACCCCGAATAAAAAGGGATGTCTTCCAGTTTTTTGGTTGGAATTCCTCCAAGCATGAGATCATGCTGGTCTTCCTGTTTTGAAGACTATTCATCTGTTTATATGACTTTTTCACAGCTTGAAGCTTGAGGCTAGATTTTAAAAATCAGGCATATCTGTTGTGAGCAGGACCAGCATATCTACAGGCATGAGGATGCTGCTGAATTTTTCACAGCCCACATGCAATGCTGCCTGTATGTTTAGAAATTCTATTTAATTCCTAAGTCACATGCTATGTCATACTTACCAGATTGTAATGAGTCTTGGGTATAACATTCTTCTTTTTAACACGTATGCGATATTGCATAAAATTGGAATGTTAAGAGTGTTAAAACCAGCATTCTAAAAACAGTTATGTCTTTAATTATGGAGTCATCAAAAAACACCTATAATTAATTGATGGATCCTAGGAAAGTATTCAGAACATGATGAAGAGAAAGCCTCTTTCTGTGGCTCAGCTCACAAAGAATTCTGTACTCAAGTGTGCATGCTATGAAGAAAAATGTGTTTCCATTGGGAAACAGGTCAAGATTTTCTGAGCTTAACACCAAAGAAAATAGAAAGTATTTGAAAATTCTTCAGAAATTCCTTTTTTATATCTGTTTTTTTTTTTTTTAATTATTATTTTTTTAATTTATTTATGAGAATTCTTCAGAAATTCTTTTTACCTTTTTGGAAATCCAAAGACAGATTATTTGCTATTCTCTTGGCTCAGCATCAATCTTGAACAAAGGCTATAAGCCCACTACTCCAAGAAAGAGGGACAGTCTGTCTTCTATTTTTTTTTATTTTTTTTTAATTTCCTGTCCTACGAAATATATTTGATTAAAAATCACACCAAAACCAGAAGAACTTTCTGCTGAGTGTCAGACTAGCATTTTTAGCATACTGTCTGTTTAGTAAAATCATGAATGACAATGCCAAAATACAAGCTCAGTTATTTTAACTAAAAAATCAAATAGATGTCATCTTGGCTTTCATAAATACATAAACTATGGTGTTCTAACATATCTTCATTTGTAGCATGATTTTAGTGTCATGGAGAGTTGCAAGGACTATATGTTGGGGGAGAACATGCAGAGTTTCCTTTCTTTAGTGTTTGAAATACATTTAATTCTTCTAATTATAGTTGTTTTATATAATTTGCTAAACTGCAAATATATGTAGGTTCCAAGCATATTTTATGAAGTAATTTGTTTCAGCAGTAATTTTTAAATCCAGGATAACTATGTTGTCTTCATGTGCTCTGATATATTTGATATGTCAAAAAGTGGATGTTTAAATACAAGTAGTTAAGGTATTTGGTCATGCTATCTCATTGTTAAGAAAAATTACAAAATTTTACTGAGTCTGTTTAGTTCTATTAAAATAAGCAGCAGGAATAGAAATTAATAAAAATTCCTTTTCTATTTTTGCTGTTATTTCTGCCATTCTGTGCCAGGTTATATTACTGTATACCAGTAAACCCTCTCACATGCAGGTTTTCAAGAGACAAGTTTAGTGGTAAGATATCTTAGTGGTCAGCCAAAATGAGGGACATGAGGAACTTCTGTGTCACAAGGTGCCACAAACTACCTCACTTCTTTGGTTTGATTCTTTAATTTCATATACTTAAAAAAAGAATAACCTTCATTAGTCAGCTTACAATTTTGGAAAGATATATGCAAGAGGGCATCAGAGTACTGATTAAACCTCTTTGCATTGACGAATGAACTGAAATAACAGTACTTGGCAGAGATTGCCTGCTGGTATTCCAACTGCTGGCAGAACTGCCTTTAAATTAAGGACTTTCTGTTTTCAGACCACATGGAAAACACTGAGTTTTACCTTCAATAGGTACAATCTAAAATCAACATCAGCCATTGTCAAGGAAGGAACTAGGCCTTCTCCAGTACCACAATACCTCTTGCTATAGGAGTGAATGAATTTATATACTTGGGTAAATACACAGGTGTCACAAAATAAAACTTTTTTTTCCATTTTGAGACAAAATCCTTTTACTGAAATGGAGACAGTATCAGGCATGGATAATAGTTCTCAAAACTGAATATACTTTTTGTGCATGACATCTATGTGGCAAGCTATCAGATTATAGTATGTCTATTTTTAGTATGTAAATGAGTGGGATATACAAATAGCTCCCACACAATGTGATTGCTAACAAGACACATTGTTAAGTTGTATGTTGATAACAAAATATATTTCTTTAAGCAATATATAGTAATATACATATACATTTTCAGATTTTCCAGCATAAAAGCGGTACATGAGCAGAACGCAATAATAATTAAAAATACTGACAGCATTTTAAAAATCAGTTGTTGATGTTGCCATAGGCTGAAATAGCTATTAAATTTAACAACACATTTGAATTCCACTTAGACCTAAGGGGCAGAAAATTACCCAACAACACAAACACCTTGAATACTAAAACTCACCAAAATCCACTTTTGATGGAGATTATTTGGAATGATTTCCAGAGGTTGAATCTGTCAGATAAATCACCCTGGTTTCCCCAGGAAGGCATGCCTTAGCTATTTTACGTGAAATACGTAGCTGCCAGTAGACTGAATGGAAAATGGGATAGAGGCGATTTAGGTGGCTGGATTCCAGGTCATGCAGATCTTGAAAAAATGTTAATAGCCTGAAATGACAACTGGACCTGAAATGCTGAGTAGAGTATCATAAAGAAGAGGTGTACTTTGCTGACAGTGACCATAAATGCAGCTTTTACTTCATGAAGACAGGGCAGGCTCAGAAAGCATCGTGATAGTACAGTGTAAACCAGACAGAGGTGTCGTGTAGAAGAGCTGAAGCCTGATATCTTAAGTGGCCATATCACCTTTGCAGTCAAAATTATCTTATGAAAAACTGTATACCTGTCATGAAATTGAAAGTTGCAAAAGTGTGATTGCATGCCTTAAGGCCATTAGGGGTTTATAGAGTATTTTGCCTATGAATTTAGATGCCATGAAAAACTCAGTGATATAACTCTCTTTCCATATTAATTTTTAATTTTGGTACTGTGCTTTGAGATCATTGGATGAAGGACGATCATGTAATTCTTCAAATGCAGGAAGTATATCTCTTTGAAACAGTGTATTTCCTCGATGTAGTAAACCAACTCCAGCCTGTCAGCATCTGCCTCACTCACAACAATATTTTTTTTACGAAAAGGTAAGCTGCAAAGTCCCATAGAGCTTTTTGATGAGGTCTGAAGAACGTGCAGATATTGGGCTTTGTTGGAAAGCAGATGTAATGAAGAGTAGAAAAAGAGGAAGAGTTAAGGAGAAATATGCTACTGCTCATTATTGACCAAAGCAGGTAGCCAGATGCAGCCTTTCTTCTAGGAAACAAAACAGTATAAAAAATAGTTAAATATGACATCAGTTATTTGCTTTAAAATTGCTTGCCAAGGTGAGTTTCCCTGAACATGACAATTAAGGAGAAGAAAAAGGGCTGGCTTGCTTATAGCAGTAAATTCCTCTCAATTGGAATACCACTGAAAGATCTCATCTTAGTGCTTTACTCAGGACTGCATTTGCAGATGTTCCTGTTGTGTCTGAAGTTTCTGTGCCATCTTGCCTGGTACTGCTGTTTCTCTCACCATCACAAAACTTTGGGAAAACAAGTGGGGAGGCAAATAATTTCTACTACATGTGCCGTTTTCTGGGGTAACATGTCTATGGTGAGAGTGGCGATGACTATTTCATGTTATGTTATTAACAAACATACCGGTGACTTTACCAACCTGTCATGTGAACTGTTGGTTTCAGCAGCTTAACTGCTCTATCTCCCTGCATTGCTC